CCCCAAAACCCCAAAACCCCAAAACCCCAAAACCCCAAAACCCCAAAACCCCAAAACCCCTTTTAAGCATTCTTTAATGAAAGTTAATAATTATTTTTTATGAATTCAGTTGCTTTCATTCAGGATAACCAGCCCAATGTCATCAAGGTCAAGGCTCAGACAGAGTTGGCAGGATATGTGAAGTATGCTATCAAGGTCTTCAGAACTCACAGGACTCTTGTAATGAAGGGTGCAGGCAATGCTACTAGTAAGGTTCTCCACCTTACTGAAATCTTGAAGAGAAGGATTGGAAATCTTCATCAGATCAACCATGTCTACTCAGTTGAGGTAGACAACAGGAGAGAATGCCAAGACGGCAGAGGGAAGAAGAGAATGTCTATCTTTGAGTCCATTCTATCAGTTGATCCACTTGAAGAAGATGATATTGGATACCAAGAGCCAATTGCAAAGGAGAGGAGACAATCCTTCATGACTCCTCAGAAATTCCAAAGAAACCAGCAGAGAAGAGGTTTCTATAGAGGAGGAAGAAGCCCAAGATATGAAAATTTCAGACCAAGATATGGGCCCCCTAGAGATTATGATGACTTCTATGGTAAGCTCGTTTGCAGGAATTCGCTCATATCTTTCCTATAGACAGTCCTCATTTCACCACAAGACCAAATTTCAGAAGAGGATATGGTCATCGCTATGGCACTGATTACAAGCCAAGAAGATACCAAAATCAGTGGATCCAAGATAGCAGACCAAATTATGAGTCCATGAGTCAAGGACCATCCTACAGGTATGCTTCCTTCAGCTCTTCTTCCCTTTCTATCCTTGCTAATTTTTGTCTACAGATTTAGAGAAAGAGAAGAAAGATTTGGTGGCTTCTACTCAAAGTAAGTCTAGCACCCTTCCTCATCTTACCCTTCCTTCTAGTGAGAAGATGCCTAACAGAAGAGGATTCTCTACCAGAAAGAAGTGGAGAAACAGAAGCAGAGCTGGCACTGTTGTCAACTTCAGAACTCCAGAGTCCAGCGGCAAAGTCTCCAGCAGGATGTCTAGTCATCAAGATTAGTTCTCTCCCTTACTTGTGTTACTAAATTTCAGTTCATTTTAGTCATTAAGGGGTTTTGGGGTTTTGGGGTTTTGGGGTTTTGGGG